AGGCCATTTCAGCCCTGGAGGCCTGAGCGCGAGCTTGCTCTGTCCTCATGCTGGAGAACTGCTCTGAGCTCAGACCCTGGGCTCCAGGGCAGAGCAGGGCTGGAGTCCAGGCTCTGAGAGGAGGGGACGGTGCTGCCCAGGAGGGAAGGACACTGCCCTGGGCATGGGGGCAGGCAGGGCCAGGGCACTTACCATACTTAGCTGCCTTGGCGGCGGCGGCTGCCTGGGCTGCAGCTATGGCGGAATGAGAAAGAGAGAGACCCTCAGAAACCTTGCTGGATCTCAGTGGGGCTGTGCTGACTGCTCTCCTACCCTGACAGGCGCTGCAGGCCCTCCCTGCACACTCCCCAACGCCTCCCTGAGCACGTGCAGCCCAATCAACACTCCCCAACCCCCTCAAGCTCTACAGAAGAGAAGCCCCCTGCCTTCACCCTATTTCCCCAGGTGGAACTAGTGCTCACGGGAAATGCCAGCTCCAGGGACACCTCCGACTCCAGCTCCAAGACCACCGACTCCAGCTCCAAGACCGCCGTAGCCCGGAAAGCCAACCCCACCTCCAACTCCCACTCCGGCTCTGCCCCCTGCAGAGAGAGGAGAATGGGTAGAAAAGGAGATCAGTGAGAGAGGCTGGGAGGGCCCTGGGGGTGCTGGTGGACGAGGAGAGTAGGAGCAAGCCCCCCTCAAGTCTGGTCCTGGAAGGACAGGAAACCATAGAATGCCTGGGCCCCTAGCAGCCTTTTCCAGGAAACCTTTATTGAAACCCTCCCCCAGCATTTCTGCAACCCCTCTCTTCTCTGATTGGGATCGGGCCCTGTTGGTTATGGAGAGAGAGTGGGCAGGTCCCATTTCCCCAGCCAGGCTTGGGCTCCTGTGAGAGGGGCCCTGGCTGGGGTGGGGAGGGGCAGGGACACCGTCCCCACTGCCATACTAGGACTCTCCTATCACTCAGCCTCATGGCCTCATCCTGGGGCCCAACAGGTCCAGCTCAGCCAGTGACCTGCTATGTAACCCTGGGCAAGTCATCCCCTTTCTCTGGCCAGAACAGGGTGGGGCAGAGCTATCAACACACTCACCATATTTGGCTGCTTTGGCGGCTGCTTTAGCAGCTGCAGCTGGTGACACAGCCCCTGGAGAGACCAAGGGGACACAGATGATCAGGAGAGAATGGAGGAAAGATGGTCAATATGTATCCTACCATCCACCCATCTGTCCAGTCTATCTCCTTTCTCTCTATCAAGCCAACCCAATGGATGTTTAGTTATCTGTCTACCCAGTCACATCTCCATCTAGTCCTCTGTGTACTTAACCACTCATTCACCCACCCACTTACCTACCCACGTGTCTGTCCATTTGCCTATCTATCCTTAGACTTCAATACAACCACTTATCTCTCTGTCCATCCATGAACCCATCTGACCATCCATTTATTCACTCATCTACCCACTCATCTATTCATATATCTAACCATCCATTTTGCATTTGCCTCTCACCCACGCATCTATCTGTCTGCTCATCCAACCATGTGCTCATCCACCCATCCATCCATCCATTTATCAGTCTATTCACTTATTTAGTCCCTCATCTACTCTTCCATCTGTCTTTCCATCTACCCATTCATCTCTTCATCCACCATTTTACCCATGTATCCATTCATGTAGTCATTTATCCTTTTTTTCTGTCCATTCATTCTCTTATCCTTCAACCTCTACTTATCCACATGGCCATTCACCCACATACCCAGCTGTCCATCTGCCCATCCATCCATCCATCCATCCACCCACCCATCTATCCACCACTTACTGAGCATCTATCTATTCATCTAAGGACTGGGGACATAGAGATGAAAAAGACATGGTTCCTTCCCTCAGGAGCACACTGGCAATGAGAAGGTGAGTGGGAGAAGATGATGCTGGCAGTAACTAGTTAGGAGGTTGTTATAGCCCAAGGGAGAGAAGATGAGTCATGGTCAGGGTATGGGAGAAGAGGATAGATAAGTGAAGTGTTAGGGAGAATCCAAAAGTTTTGGCAATAGTGTCAGTATTTCTCTCTTACAACACACACACACACACACACACACACACACACACACACAGCCCAGCTCACTTGGTCTACCCACAATACCTGGGACTCCAACACCTGGGATCCCAACGCCTGGGACTCCTCCAACACCTGGGATTCCAACACCTGGGACCCCAACACCTGGGATCCCAACACCTGGGACTCCTCCAACACCTGGGATTCCAACACCTGGGACCCCAACACCAGGGACTCCAACACCAGGAACTCCAACTCCTGGGCCACCAGGTACCAAGCCTCCAGCAGCTCCTGTGGAAGGAAAGAATTATTCTGGCCTAAACCCTGTGGGAACCTTAAAGGGCCTCTCAGGGCATGGTTCTGGGGAGCTGTGGGGGTGGCAGGTCCTGAGTGCAGGATCCCAGGTGGGCTGACATTGCCTTTGGAGTTCTAAGGGTTTGGGTCTGTGGGTGGGAAGAACATGGTCTACGTCTAAAGCAAATTCAGAGCATATCACTAGCACCCAGGCAGGTGGTGCAGTAGCTATGGGTTGGCCTTGGGAGTAGGGTGGGAGGAGCCAGATGCTCCACAGGGGTCCCCCATTGCTGGGCCAATCAGTGAAGAACAACAGACAGGGCCAGGCAGAGTGGTCAGACAGGCATGTTTGGGGAGGTGGAAGGGAGGTGTCCACAGGTGGACAAAGGCCAAGTCCATTCAGTCTTAGAGAACTGAGGTCTCCAAGGCCTCGTAGAGGCCTGGGCTGGCTCCAAGGGCCTGAGGGCAGGCCAGAGTCCCACTTCCTCCCCTGAGGGCACTCACCATATTTAGCTGCCTTTGCAGCCGCCTTTCCAGCAGCACCGACCCCTGGAGAGACAGCCACAGAGGGTGAGGCCTTTCCCTGCGGCCTTCTCCAGGACACCCCCACCCCCTGCTGGAACAGACACTACCTGCAACGCCTCCAATCCCAGGAATTGCACCAGCCCCACCAGGAATGCCGGCACCTCCAACACCAACACCAGGGAGAACTCCGGCTCCTCCAGCACCTGCGGGGATGGGGACAGTGCAGATGTAGCTCCCAGGGCCCCTCCTGAGGCTGGGAAGGAAGGCCACTTGGATGCTGGCGTTTTAACTAGCACAGTCTCCTCTGGGAACGAGGCCCAGGCATCTCTGGCGGGGCCTGCTTGAGAAGGCCCCCACCCCACTGTTCATTGACTCACCCCCAAAGTGTCCATTTCAACACGCTCATTAAGGGACTTGTATGTTTTCAGACAAATCCCATTCTAATCACTGCCACATACTGAGAAACCACAAGCGGCCACTCCCTGGGCCAGAGGGGCCCCTGTAGGAATGTTCAAGGCTTCCTCTCCTTGTGTTCCAAAGGCTCCGCCAAGTTTGTAATCCAAGCGCCTGGCTGCCTGGCTCTGGCAGTCCCTCGCTGTCCCAATCCCCTGCTCCCACATTCCACCCTTAGGGGCCTGGACGGACAGCCTATGGGGCCTCCTAGGAGCGGGCCTCCAGCTCAGTGCTGCCCTCCACATTTTCGCCCCCTTGGCTGGTCCCACCATGGCTACAGGAAGGGCTCCCCTGGCACTGGAGATGAAAGGTGAGGACTTCAGCCCCAATGATCTGACTCTGAACTGGGACTGCCTGAGACACGTAAACGGAGGTCCATGCAGCTCACAGCGTGTGCACAGGGAAGCGAGTGCTAAGTCAACCAACCAAGCAATCAACAGCGCGAGGAACCAGTTAAATGTGTTATAGAGCACACTAAATTGAAACTAAACTGTTCTATTTATAAAATGTTCCTTTTATTCATCATAGAATCCATTCTCCTTACTCGGCTTCTTTCTTCCTTCTTTAAATACATGGCTCATTCCACCCATGTTCTATGTCTTCAATAAAATTTCGTTTTTTTCAAGAATCATTCTTTATTTTATTTCCCCATTAGAAATACTATCTCGCTGGTATCCAGTCCCACTTGTATGCATTGATGGATGGAGGGAGGGAGTGATGGAGGGAGGGAGGGAGGGAGGGAGGGAGGGAGGGAGGGAGGGAGTGAGGGAGGGAGGGAGTGAGGGAGGGAGGGATAATTAGATGGGTGAGTGGATGGATGGATGGATGGATGAAAGAATGGAGGGAGGGAGGAATGAATGGATGGAGGAATGAAGGGATGGATGGAGGAATGAAGGGATGGATGGATGGATGATGGAGAGAGGGATGGAGGGAAGAAGAGATGAATGGATGGAAGGAAGGAGGAATAGGTGGGGTCAAAAAAGTTGGACAAAGGTGGGTGGGCTGCCTTGGTTAGTTATCTGTGAGGCAGGCTCTCAGTGATAACAGGATGGAGAGGTTGGGAGGCTGGGGGCTAGCAGCTAGGGACTTCAGAGGTACTCACCATACTTTGCTGCTTTAGCTGCTGCTGCTGCAGCCTGGGGACCAACCCCTGGGGGAGGGGAAGGGGAGAGACTGAAAACTGTGGCCCTGCATCTCCAGAGGCCTCCACTCCAGCCCTAGGAGAGCCATCTGTTCACATATGGGTGTAGGTGGGGGCATCATAGCCACCAGAGGCCATAGAGCTGTCCCACCCAGGATCCTTCTTCCGGCTCAGACGGGGATCTGAGTGCAGGGTGGGCTGGCCTGATTTCTGGACAGATCATGGCCCGCCCCAGAGCCCTGGAGCCAGGGTGATCAGAGCCCCTTTGGCTGGCCCCTTACCTGTCCCCGTTGGGTACCCAGCCTTGGCCCCGGCGCCAGCCGCTCCTCCAGGCCCATATCCTGTAAAACAGAGAGGCTCACTGGGCATCCGTTCAGCTCTCACTGCAGCTGCCCCCCCCTGCCCTACCCATTCAGGGGCTGCGCTGCCCAGAGTCTCCACCATGTCACCCCCAGTCAGAGTTAAAACAAGTTCAAATATGTGTGGGGGATGGTTACTCCCACTGTACAGATGAAAACACTGAGGCTCAGGGAAGAGGCCGGTTCTTGCAAGTGTGAGGGCCAGGCTTGAGAACCAAGCTGTCTGAGTCCAAGTTCCATGTTCCTTCCTGAGGGAATTCCCTTTCCAAGACCCCACCCACCCCCTGCGGGTGCTCTCCTAGCCCTGGGCTGGGGCTGCAGCTCTCTTGCCAGGACCCTGCATCTGGAAAAAGCCGGAAGCCCACTGGTCTGGGAGGGCCTTACTCACCATAGGGCAGTTTCCCTGTGCTGTAGGGCAGTCCGTAGCCACCTGAGGGGTGGGGAGGGTAGGCTCAGGTGCTGCCCCAAAGCAGCCCCATGCCTTGCTGGGCTCCCACTGCCTTGGTGGACAGATCTATTCCCACAGCTGCTGAGGCCTGAGACCCTCCCGAGGGTCATGAGCAGCCCACGGTTGCTCTCAGGGGGAGCAGAGGCCCTGGATGGAAGAGGGAGGGGGGGCACCCCACCAGGTCCCTAGAGTCTGAGTAGCTTCCTTACTCCCTTCCCCCATAAGAAACAGCTCATTGTGTGACGTCCGAGGGGTCTTTTCAGCGAACAGTGTTTCTTACCATCAACACCGATGGTTTCCTATCAGGGGTCTGTGCCTGTGTGTGCATGCGTGTGGGTACAGGTGTGCATGTGAGTGAGGCCAATACCTGCAGGATGGCTTCCCCATCCTTTTCGTTGCTGGCGACCAGAAGTGGGGTTCAGTACACAGGTTTTCTGACACCCCCCACAAGAGACCAAAAATGTGCCCCCACAAATGCCTCCTCAGCCGTGAGACCTGGTGAGAGGTGCCTCTTGACTCCTTCTTCTGACTTACCTGGCAGCTTGGGTGCCTTGATCGGGTACCCCAGTGGGACTCCAGGCTGCTGACCCCCAAAGGGTCCAACTCCTGTGAGAACAAGGAGAACAAAATCAGGCCCTAGCAACCTGAGCCAGCAGCTCCCGTTGAGCCCCCAGCCTCGCTCCCCACTTTCTGCTCAGATAGAGGGAGCCCCACTGCATCCAGAAACCATCCTGCCCTGAGGGCGTTCCTGCTGCTGTCACTGATCAGCTGAGCCCTTCCAGTGCTGGAACATGGCCTACAGAAAGCTGCAGAACCCTCCCCCTCCTGGGGCTTGGGCCACAGTTGGGCCCTGCAGCCCTTGCAGCATTTGGCACAGACGGGCAGGTTTTCTGGACTCAGTGGGCTGCCACACAGGAGGGGTTGGGACTGGGAAGCAGAACTGTGATCCATGCCACTTTGTTTGGAGCCAGTCCAAGGCCTGGAGCCATGGGCAGGAGGGGCATTGGACAGGCCTGATGGGATTCTGAATGCCCCGCCCCGCCCACGGTGAGTGCCTTTGCCTGGCTGGCCACCCTGCTGGCCTGCCCACCCACCGGGGATTCTCGCCTTGCCTCACCTGGGATTCCAGCAAAAGCTCCCCCTCCACCTGCAATGACAAGGAGCCATCACTGTAGTCCTTTCACCATGGGCACAGGGCCCCGAGGCACCAGTAGCTGGTGTCAGGCAGCACAGAGGGCTGGGGAGTGGCCAATTCTGCCCAGATTTCCAGGTTTATGCTGCCTCACACACACTTGGGATTTCTGAGAGGTGTTCTGTCCATCTCGGCCACCAGTACCAAGGCTGGAGCACAAGGGGTGCCCACCCAGAGGGCCTTGAGCCCAGGCTCCCCAGCCCCACTCCCCCTCCCCTCCATAGGGGCCTGAGGGTAGATACAGGTTCCCACCATGGGTCCCCAGCCCCACTCCCCCTCCCCTCCAGAGGGGCCTGAGGGTAGATACAGGTTCCCACCATGGGTCCCCAGCCCACTGGTCACATACCTGGGGCCTTGGGCTTGACTCCTGTTCCAGTGGGAACCCCAGGGAGCACCCCCACACCTGGGAACCGAGCTCCTGTGAGAGCAAAGGGGGTCTGGCAGTGAGGGTGGGAAGGCAGGCCTAGAAGGCCCAACCTGGCTCCCACACCACCCCTGGGGCAGGAAGTTGCCCTCCTTCTGCACTGACCGTCCGTGACGACACAGCCCATGTGGGATGGGGGCGGTTTGGTGGTGGCTTCTCTTCCCTGTCTGACTCGGAAGATCTGACTTTAATCCCATTTCCTAGCTGAATGACCTTGTGCCTCAGCTGGCCTTGTCTCTGAGCTGAGGCCGCCCTGCCCACCCTTAGCGGAGAAGGCAGACAGTAAAAGCCGGCAGGAAGTGGGAAGCCTGTGCCCACAACCGAGCACACAGCCCTCTGCTGTGGCCGGGAACTCCGCACTTGCCAGTGCCTGGCCCTCCCACCTCTCCTGTCTCCCCTGGGACTGGGCCACCTGGGACAGAGGGAGGGACGCTGTCAGCAAATCTCCCAGAGCAGCCCCAGTCTGGGCTTTTAGGGGAATTCAGGAGGTCACATGTCGGGTGGGGTGGCCAGGCCTGGAGGGAGAGGAGGGTGAGAGGGCAGCTCTGAGGGTCTCCTACTGGGCAGATGCTCTGGGCGGGCTCCCTGGTGACTCATGGCTTTTGGGAATCAGCTGGCTACACTGGGGACTTGGTATGTCCTCAGGGGCCCACCTCGGGCTGCGACAATGATCTGGGTCAGGGCCTGGGGTCGGAGCTTGGTAGGATGAGGGGAAGCTGACTGGCCCTGTGTCCCTCAGCCTGAGCTTTGATGCTCTGGTGGCCTCAGCTTACAGGGAGTTGAGGGGCCACCAGGAGATGGTCTCCAGGCTATAGGGAGGGTCTCCTTCTTCTCTGTGATTTTACCTGTGCCTGGGAGCACTCCTCCTGGGTATACACCTGGTAGGCCCACACCTGTGGCCAAAAGAAGGAGGAGCCATGAGCAGCGCCCCAGCCTCCAGGAACCCCTCCCTGGCCTTCCCTCCACAGCTCCAGGCCTCACAAACCAGCCACCCCAGTGCCTGGCAAGGACAGCCGGGGACATGTGTTGTAGCCACGGCCTTCCTCCCCTGAGTTTCAGGAGTCATCTGCAAACCCTTCTGTGCATGGATTTATCTTGTCTTCTGGAGCCTGTTTACATGGCTGGCCCAGCCCACCTCTGGGCTAACAGCTTCCAGATGTTCCTTCCCTGCTGCGTGGACTCAGGCAGGCTTTTGTTTAACCTGAAGTCACTTCCTCAAGGGCTTGGTGCAGAGGAATGAGCACCAGATGGGGAGTCAAGGCTCCTCTGGCCACCCTGGCTCTGCTGTGACCACCAAGGGCCCTCTGCACTGACGCCCATGCTGAGCCTCAGTGTCCCCATCTGTCCCCTGGATGTCTGCCACAAGCCTGTCTCTGAGATCTCTGAGGTCCTGGAGGAAGGGCCCAGAAGGTGGGCTGGAGTCCCTCTCCCCATTTTGAACAGGGCCCCACACTTTGGGCCGGTCGTTCTTCCCTGCCCCGCTGCAGCCAGGCCCCACCTGTCGCACCCAGTACAGAGGTGAGGGCCTCAGCCCCTCCCTGAACCTGCTGTCCAGCCCCAGGGACTCCACACTGACCCGGCACTTTCCCAGGCTTCACTCCAGCTCCGACCCCCACTCCGGACGGCACCACTGCACCTGGCATGGAAGGGACCGTGTCAGAGTTGGTGTCACCAGGCCTTCAGCCTTCACCCGGGCAACTCAGGGTTAGCCGCCATACCTGTAGACACTCCTAAGCCACCGAGTCCACCGACACCACCAAGTCCACCGACACCAAGCCCGCCAACACCACCAGCACCGCCAACCCCAGCACCTACAGAGCCAGGAGTGGGAGAGGCGAGGAGTCATGCAAGGAGCAGTGGGAGGTGGGAGGGATCTGGTGCATGTGGAGAGCCCAGAGATGATATCTGATCATGCCACCACCTCCCTTGGAGACTGGTTGCCTCTCTGAGCCAGAAGATTAGAGATGAGGATCCCGCCTGCCTCCCAGGAAATGTTCTTTGCAAAGTGGAGAGCCCGCGGAGGCGAGAGGGTCTGTACTATGTATGGCATGTCCCAAACCGTCACACTCACCAGCTTTGGCTGCAGCTTTATAGGCTGCAGAAGCGCTAGCCCCAGGCGGTAGAATCCCCGGGAAGATGCCCCCAAAGGCGCCGAGCCCTGTGGAGGGGAGGACAGGGTGAGGTCCTGAGCCCAACCAGCCCTGCGCAGGAGGCACATTGAGGTGGCGCTCCTACTCTCTGCAGGACTTCCACGCCAAGCAGCGGCCTCTGTCCCCAGGACCAGGATCAGTGTTGGAGAGCAACATGTGCCAGATGGTTCTACTCAGCCTGACAAAGCTGCAGGCTCTCTTGGGATCAAACTTCCACACCCCCTCCTCCAGGAAGTCTTCCTGACACCCTGCCGAGTTGAGCAACTCCTCTGGGCTCCACTGGCCCCTGCAGCCTCTTGGCACTACATCATACTAGCACCCAGGACGCAGCGGTTACTTCCTTGTGTCCTGGGCAGCTGCTTAGGGCAAGTGGTCTCAGCATCACCCTCACACCAGCGCCCAGGGCTGGCCTGGCCCATGTACCAGGCAGATACCCTGGGCTTGGCTCTGGCCCCAAATGGGCGTCTTGCTTGGGTGTCAATACTAACCTGCCCCAGGGCCACCTCCTGGGAGCCCTCCAGCACCTGTAGGGAGAAGGAGACAGAGCCAGTGAGGAGACGAGAGACTGGTGTGTGGGCATCATTCCTGGATCCTGGGTGGGAAGGGTCTCATGATGGGCAGGCAGGAACCAGGCAGGGCTGTGGTCAGTGTGCAGCCACTCAGACCCCAAGCTGGACTCAAGCCTTTGGTGCTCAGGGGCTCTTGATAAAACAGCAGCTACCATTTAGTGACCAGCTACTATGTGCCATGTAGATGTAATTGTATTGACCATCCCCCCCCCCCCCCCATCATGCACCTAGGCCAGGCCTTGCTTCCCCTAGAAGGCCTGCCAACAAATGGGAGACTCAGCAGGGCTTTCTCTGAGGGTGGAAGCTGAGTAGAGTCTGTCAGCAAGACCTGACCCAGGCCAGGCCCTGCCTGGCTCCCACATTAGCCCCCAACCCAGACCTCTCTTCTACTTCCTTGCAGGTGTCTCCTGGCTCAGCCCATTCCCTCTCCCTTGTATCTGGAGACCCTCCAGTTCCCAGCATCTGTCTATGTGTCCATCCAGCCTGCCTGCAGTCCAGGAGCCTCCTCGATTTCAGACGGATGCTAAAATGTTTATGAGAAGTCAAATGGTCCCTCTGGCTCTCTCCTTCTCACATCTGGGCCCAACCGCTCCTTCTCCCCCTCCAGGAGACATTCCAGGCTTTGGCCAGGACGGATGGGCAATCAGGTTGGAGTTCGCAAGCGTGCCGGGTTTGTTTCCAATTACGTGAGAATCTCTCCTGCAAGCACCAGTCTGGCTGCCTGGCTGCCAGGGTCCCTGAGCCCAGGGAAGCCCTCTCTGGGGACTGACCCTAAACATGGGGGACTGCCAAGCCTGGGGAGTCTACCTGGCTCTCTCTGGGTGTGGTCTCCCTTCCCCCCACTTATTTCCTACTTGTGTGAGTTGGCCCCACCTGCAGCTCAGCCAGCCCCTCTGTAAGATGGGTCTCTATCTCTGGCTGGTCTCCCTCCCAGGCATGCCTGGTGTGGGTCAGGCCCGGCCTGGGGGCAGGGAGTTCACTTCCCAGCACTGTGGGCCCTGCCCCTCCCCAGCTCTGTCTGGGGCTTCTTTCAAGCCAGGCCTGTTTCCTGAGCTCCAACAGGGCCGGGACCTTTCCTGAGCACAGAGGGGCTGGACGAGAAGATGGGAACTGAACAGGAAGTGACAAGAGGCTGGGGCAGGTGGGGGTGGGAGCAGGCAACCTCTCTGGCGCCATCTGTCCTTTCCCAGCCTCCTCCCTAGGTGCCTGGTCCCCAGGGCGCCCTCCAGCATGACCAGCCCCTCTCCTGTTTGCCCTCCTTCCTTTGGACTCACCTGGTCCAAATCCCCCAAGGAGTCCAGCCCCTGGAAAGGAGGAAAGGAGGGGTGAGGTGCTGGCCACAGCAGGGAGCCCAGGGGCCTGGCCAGCCCAACCCTCTGTCTTCCTGGAATCAGAGAGCTCTGGATTCAAATGCTGCTACTCCTGCCGACTCCATGCGTGTGGGAGCGAGTCTCTTCACCTTTCTGAGACTCAGTTTCCCCACCTAGAAATGGTCATTGTGTCCCTGCCCTTCTTGGGACCAGTAAGATCATGAGCAGAAAGCACCTAGTGTGTGCAATATGCCAGGGTGTCCAGTGGGTGTGGCCCATTCCTTCCAGTCCTCTCGTGTGGGTGGCTGGCCTCCAGCTGGTGCTCAGGGTGTGGGTGTTGCTGGCTCCCAGCTGCCTGGTCCCCCACCGAGAGCCCAGGCAGGGCCAGCGCGCTGAGGCCCACATGGAGCAGCTGCCAGGCCACCCACCCTCCACTTGCCAAGGGATTAATTGTTCCTAAGCATGACACACACTGCCCATGCCCCGTTCCATCTTGCCTGGGCAGGCCCGGACACCCCCCTGGGCCGGATGGAAGTGAGGAGCTGCCGAGGGAAGGAGGGGGGCTGTGGCTTTGTCCGGACTTTGTAGCTGAGTCCTGATGACCTCAGGGAGGTTGTGGGATCCAGCCCCTTTTCATCAGGAGGAGACACCCTGACTCTTTGGGGGTCTACTCCTTCACCCTGCCCTGAGAGTGCTTTCGGAAGTCTAAACTAAATCATTAATAAAAGCTTCACTTCAGCGGCCCCCCGTTATGGGGCTCTCTGCAGTTTTCTCAGTCTCCCCTCCTAGGTCTCATCACAATCTGCCATGTGTCCCCAGCGAGATCAGCCAATCCCCACTCTAGCTTTGCAGTCACAACCTCCACAATTTGGTTCTTCTCGGCTAAGCACAGACCTGTTTCCACGTCTTGATTATCTAGTCCTTCTCGACATTCTTTCTACCATCAGAGACCCTGTGAAGGTCCCTCCCAGGAGGCAGGAGGCAGGTTCTGGCAGGATAAGCAGTGAATTCCAAGGGCTCCGGCCTCGTCGACCCCCAAATCCCAGGAACCCCTTCCCCTGGCTTCCTGTCCTTCTGCCTCCCCCCTGGCCCGGCCCAGCCCTGGTGTTTCACAACCCAGATGCTGGCAGGGAGGGGGGAATCTGGGTCTTGCAGATTCATCTGCAATTGGATCATCCAGCAGCGGGTTTCGTAAGAGCTGCTGGACACCCAAACTGTCCTGGAGCCTCGGCTTCAGAGCCAGGGAGACACAGAGCGGGGGTGGGGGGGAAGGTCCCATGTGGAGTATCTCACGCCAGTGGGGTCACACATCTGGACAGAGACACCACTTCCTCCACCTGCTCCTTGTCCACCAGTGCTTCCTGGAGGGACACGCCCTCCCTCTTTCCTGGGGGTGTGTTCTTTGGAACTGGTGGTGGACCCTGGTGTCAGATTCGGTAGGGCTAGGACAGTCTAGTCCAGTGGTCGGCAAACTCATTAGTCAACAGAGCCAAATATCAACAGTACAACGATTGAAATTTCTTTTGAGAGCCAAATTTTTTAAACTTAAACTATATAGGTAGGTATGTTGTTATTAACTTAATTAGGGTACTCCTAAGGCTTAGGAAGAGCCACACTCAAAGGGCCAAAGAGCCGCATGTGGCTCGCAAGCCGCAGTTTGCCGACCACTAGTCTAGTCACATCTCCTTTCTGGAAAACTCCACGTTCTGGACAGCCAGAAGGAGACTGGGATCAAGGAGGATGCTCATCTGGGGCCAGAGTCAGGGTCCAACCTGGGGTTTAGTTTCGGGCTTGGTCTGGAGTCAGGGTTCAGCCTGGCGCCAGGACCAGGGCTCAGATTGTCATCCAGAGTCAGGGATATGGAGTTAGAGAGGCCTGGGGTTAGAGAGGGCTTGGTCTGAGCCAAGGGCCCATCAGGTGGGGTCTGGAACCTACCCTCTGTGTCTGAGTCCCAGAGTGACATTCCCAGCATGGTGGCCTCTGGAGCATCAAGCCCTCCCTTGGTCCTGAGCACCAGGGCTGCTTCTGAGGCCATGTGCATAGGGGACAGGGCAGCCGGGCACAGAGGCCCTTGTAGAATAGATGCTGGACACTCCTCGCACAAGCTGCTGCCAGCTTCCTGTCCCCGGCCTCCGGCCCCAGCCTGCACATACCGGGGGACTGGTACCGCCCACCACTTCCTTCCTGCCTCTTGCCCTTGCTAGGTAGGCTCTCCCCTCCCCTGCCCCCTGGCCCACGCTCAGTGCCCTACGACCTCAGGTCTTACCTGGCTTGGGCGGTTTGCCTCCAGGTCCCAGCCCTGCAGAGGGAAGAGACGGCAGTGAATGGGGAGCCCCAGCACCCCTGTCTTATTATTTATACCCTCAGGGCAAAGCAAGAGCACTGTGGGGTCCTACTCTCCAAGTCCTAAAAGGGCTGTCAGGAGCAGCCCTCCCTTCGGACAGGGAGCTGCTGGGAGCCCAGTGTCTAGACGTCTGGTGGGAAGCCCAGCTCCAGCCCTGATTGGTGGCTTTTACTCTCAGACTCAGTTTCTCAGAGCCTCTGAGGGAACAAGGACACCTGCTCAGCCAGCATTTTAGGGGTGTGCGGAGGATCAAAAGAAAGCGGGAGAAGGCGGGGCCACCAGGGAGAAAGCCTGGGGGAGGGGCTTGGAGGCCAGTGGGTTCCAGTTCTCAGACAAGTCTCTCCCCAAGAGGCACTTGGTCTATAAAACAAGGGACCCTTGATGCTTGGACTTTCTGGGGTTCTGAAGTTTAAGGACCTGTGTGGGCTAGAGTGACACTTAGACCCCATCAGTGAGGAAATAGATTTGGTTTCTGCACTTACCTCCTACTCCCAGGCCTCCGACACCAGTCCCTGGTGGGGGTGGGGGTGGGGGGTTGGGGGGGAGAGAAACATCAGTGCCCCTGTCAGATCAGTGCCCCTGCCAGAAAGCCACCCATCAACCCACGGTCAAATCCATCACTGCCTAGCTACACGACCTCAGGCAAGCCTTAACTTTTGCGAACCTCAATTTCCTCATTTGTCTCATAGGGCCAATAGCCCTGTGCTAGTTTGTGCCTGAGAGTGTGCTGGTAGCTGCCCTCACTTCCATGTCAGTTCTGAACACTCCAATGCTTCTTAAGTATTAAAAATATGACTTTGATCTTTCAATCTACTTTAAAACATTATGCTTTTTTCTAAATGGCATTGCTCCGACATTTTCCCCATTTTAAAAAATATATTTTATTGAGTTTTTTACAGAGAGGAAGGGAGAGGGATAGAGAGTTAGAAATATTGATGAGAGAGAAACATCGATCAGCTGCCTCCTGCACACCTCCTACTGGGAATGTGCCCCCAACCAAGGTACATGCCCTTGACCAGAATCGAACCTGGGACCCTTCAGTCCACAGGCCGACACTCTATCCACTGAGCCAAACCGGTTAGGGCTCCCCATTTTCTTTTGGTGGTGGGGCCTCTCAGTCTCCACCTACACATGGTTGTTGCTTTTGTGTTGTTTTTACTTGAAAAACACGTCACCATATTGCACAACAGATAACATAATCATACTTTTTAGTAACTGGGTAATATTTCCGAGTTTACTTAATCACACCCTCCAGTCAGGTGGGTTTCTTGCTTTACAGTTTTGCAAACACCACACCTATGAACCTCATTGAAGATCATTCTTTTCCTCTTCAATTATTTCCTCTAAGTGGATTTCCAAAGTGGGGTTAATGGTTGGAAGACTGTGAATGGCAGGAGTGCGTGAAAGCACTCACTTTCCTATAGCCTCAAAAGCATTGTTTCATCTTTCAGAAGATTTATGCTCTTACTAGTGGTAAGACAGTGTCACGCAAACTGCTTTTCTAAGTAGCAGTGACTTGTGGGTCTTCTGTGGTAGGCATGACACTGTTCTTCCCTTCCGCAATGTGCATCTCTCACGGATGTACTCACAAGCTTCCTCTCCTGGGTAGGGGGAAGTTCCATGTACATTACCTGGGAAAAAGCCTCCTCCGGGAAGTCCTCCGGGAATTCCTCCGGGAAGTCCTCCAGGAATAGCTCCTGGGACCCCTGGGAGGAAGTAGGTAGAATCCTCTATTAGCCAGAACTAATAAAAACATGGTAACAATGTGATGATGATGATGATGATGATGATGAGAATGATGAGAATGATGATGTTGTTGGAAATCTGCAAAGCAAATTTTTGTTTTCGAAGCATTTTTTTTCCATTTATGCTTTGCGAGGTGGGAAGGGCTAGGATTATTATTTACATCTTAGCAGATGTGAAATCAGGCTCAACGAAGTTGAGGGATGTGCCTGGGGTCACACAGCTGGAAAGAGATGGAGCCTGGATTAAAACTCAGGCAATTCCTCTCCCTGGAGAGGGCCTGGCATGAGGCTGGGTCTGAGCGCCTTTCGATGGGCAGCCAACGGTCTCCAGCCCTGAGCAGCATGGGCCGGGGCCAGGGTTGTGGCCGAGCTGTAAGTAAGCGGTAAGGAAATGCAGCCGCTGCCAGTAAAAATGCAGCCATTCCCACACTGATAGGACTGCGTGAGGTCAGCGTCCTCAGCCACTGGGCAACAGTGGATGGGTGGGGTTCTGGCTGTCTGACACAGGGCTGTCTTAGGAGGCGCCGGGCCCCAGAGGGGGACACCATGAATGAGCAAAGTGAATAGTTTCCTAAGGAAAAGCGAGTTCACTGGCCAGGCCAGGGGCTGTCTGCCCAGCCAAGATCACGAGTTCAGTCCCCAACGCCGGGCGAAGCACTCACTGGGGAACGCTGTGGTGCTGGGCCCAGACCCATGCCTGGTCATGGCAACAGATGATCCTGGTGCAGACCAGGCCCTAACTCCACCACCACAGAATGGCCCCGACCCTGATAAGCCACCTTGCCAACCCCTCATCCCCAGCACCACCCCACTGAAAAGGGCACGGGCAGGGTTGGGGGACAGTGTCGGTCAGTCCTGCAGTATGACCAGCGGCCTCATGGACAGACATCTGGCCTCGTGGCCTGGTGATGCTGCACAGCTGGGTCTGTTGGCCCCAGGGCCCTGTCAGCCTCAGCCCCAGCCCGGCCGGGCAGGGGATGCCAAGCTGTCACAGCCACTCCGTGCCAAAGTCCTGGCGCCATCCTCCTCCCCCAGGGCCTGCAGTCCCCCAGGAACTGCAATCCAGGCCTAGAGCGTGCGAGCAATCTGGTCAAAGCCTCAGGGGCTCAGAGTGGTGGCCTGAAGAGGGTGGGCCGGCTGGGAATGAGTGCTTTGGCCCTGTCATGTGTTGCCAAGCACGCACATGGCCTGTCTTGAGCCTTTGATGCCGTCCCTGGCTCTGGTCTCCAGCTCTGAGCACTGTTTCTTATGTGCCCTACCCCGGTGCGCCCCAGGCCTTTCTCTGCCTCGGCCTCTCTCCCTCCTGTCCAGCTCCAGAGCCATGGCAGGAGCAGGGCCGGGGGTGGAGGGAACAAGGGGCTCAGGACGGACCCATCTGCCTCTCCTCCTGGCTGTGCCACATCTGTGTGACCTTGGGCAAGTCACTTAACCCCTCTGAGCCTCAGCTTCCTTTTCAGCCAGGTGGGGCTGATAACGGCTGCCTCGCAAAGTGGTTGCAACTTGTCAGCGGGTTCAAGTAAGAGAGCCGTCCTGCCCTGGACCTGGCACACAGTGACGGCTCAAACAAAAGATGGTGACCCCTCGCCTCCACTTCGCTGCGCAGCACACGGCTTGGGGTCGGTAAACAGGATATGTCCAATAAATGATGTGTGAATTAGGTGGAAGGGAGGCAGGATGCTGCCTGTGGCTCGGATTCATCCTGTTCTATCCCCAACCAACCTGGGGGTCTCCCACCTTGGGCCTGGCTGAACCCCCTACTTCCTCTCTTGGGGTTCTGCTCTCCCACACCCGCTTGTGACCAAGCCCCTCCCGGGCCTGCCAGCTCCTCCTCTGCTTCCTCTCTCCCCAGCGCCTCCCCATCTCCTCTTCCCACTCCCCACCCCCATGATTCAAAGCCCAACAGCACGTGCCAAACTCCGGGCCTGAACCATGACAGCCTGGGGAGCTGTGGATTTTGATCCCCATTTTGCCCTGAGGAAATGGAGAAGGCTTAGTGGGTGTAAAGGGTGCCCTGCCCTGCCTTCTCTCTTCAAGTGCAGGAGAGGTGAGACTATAAGACAGGAGGGCCTTCAAAAAGGCGGCAGTCGCCCACCCTTCCTGCCAGAAATGCCTTCTCCTCTCCCCAAGTCCTACCCTTCCACCAAGACTGAGCTCAGAGTCTCCCTCCTGCCTTCTCTCAGCCTTTGACTCTCATTGCTTAGCTGGCCCGAAGCAGCTGGCCGGCAGCACGCTTGTTTTATTTTATGTGGGTTTCGCTTGTTTCACCGGCTAGTCCGGGGTGAACTCGTCTCTTGCATCTTAGAATCGTGATCCTAGACTGTCAGGGGTCATAACGGTCTTCGGGCCTGGGCTGAAGTTCCTTCTGCAAGCATCCCCTGGTGCTCCTGCTTGCACGCCTCCAGTGACAGGAACATCACCACCTCTGATGCTGTCAGCTCTACCTGCAGAGAGATCTTCCTCCTATCAAGATAGACTCTGCCCAGCGATCTCTCTAATTCTGCCTCCCACAGCCCTATAGAGCGAGGCTCACCTGTCATCCCGGGATAGCTCCCACACACTGACCTTTCTTTAAAGGTCTAACTCAAATGTCACCTCTGCTGTGAAGCCTTCCTCGGTTTCCTGGGACTCCTCCAGGCACCCCCTGCCTTCGTCCCGTCTGCTCTCTGCACCATTGAACTCTGCTCCCCACTAGACAAACCATGGCATGAAGAGCAGGAGGGAAATTAAAGCTTATAACTGTGCACGAATTACAAGGGTTGAGTAGCTCAAGTTGGCAAATTCTGAATAAGAAGATACATCGTTTTAAAAATTCACATTTCCACAGTCCTCTTCCTTGATACATTCTTGGCAGTTGTTTCATTGCTGGAGCCGCCCACCAGCCCTCGGAGATAGTGGGGCAGGGAGGTTTCTCCCCATTTTACAGCCAGGGAAACCAAGAGCCAGTGAAATTAAGTGCCTGGCCTGGGACCTATAGCTGAACCCAGTCGCACGCGGGGCCTTCTGTCTGGGCCCTGGGCTCCAAGTTCAAAGATCTGGGAGAAGGTTGTTTGGGAGCAAGCAGTGAGCCCGCGGTCCTCGGTAGGGGCTTTGCCAAGCTCAAGTCCAGAGGGCCAACCTGGGGAGCAGATAAGACCACACGAAGCTGTTTGTTGTTGGCATGGAGAAGGGCTGCCAAGGGCTTTTCAAAAACCATCTGTCCTCCAGTGGGTGACTCGATCCCTCGCTGGGCACGTCTGCCCTCCTGCCTTGGCCTTAGTGGACACAGAGTGTAGGATTAACCCCTGAGCCAGAGGTCCTGGGCCCTGGAGCCTCACTAAAGTCACCCTTGACAAAACCTCCGTGTCAGGGTCCCTCCACAGACCAAACAAAGCAGGAATTCTTGGGTGGGACCTCCACATCAGAATTGTTCCTAGTTCCCCGGGTAACTCCCATGTGCAGCCAGGGTTGAAACCACCCCCCCCCCCAAAAAAAAGAAAAAGAAAACCCTCTTCCAGATTGTCCCCAGTCCTGGAATCAGAAAAAAAGTGATAATATTTCTGGGGGATGGGGAGATGCCTGATTTCTTTTTCTTTCCTCCCCCACTCCCCTCTCTCTTTAAATAGTACTGGGGGTCTGGGACAGCTGGTCCTCAAAGTTGCTTTTGACCCATCCTAACTGGGTCTAGACAACCCTTCCCATTGCACAGCCATCCTGGGGAGCCTCTCTTTCTTGCCTCCACTGACAACGTGGTTCTTTGGATCTGGGGAACTCGTGGGGTGACACTGTCTTGGGGTGGGGGGAAGCTGGGCTCCCCCAGCGTAGCCAGAGTGCTATGGCTGTGTGTGTGTGTGTGTGTGTGTGTGTGTGTGTGTGTCCAGCCTCCCTATTGCTTGACCTCTCTAGCTGTTGGTAGGCTCTGGGCACAAGCCCCTGAATACCTCATCAATTTACACAGCCCTTATTTGGACCCAGTCCTCCACCACCTGGGACAGAGCTGTGATTTATGTTTGCAAGGAAAGAACAAGGCCAGCGGAGCATTTCGCAGTGTCACTGAGGGGACAAGGAGAAGGTGCCTGCTGCCCTAGGGCGTGCCCACCCTAGAGGGCTCAGTCCCAGGCCGGATCTTCCCCAAGTGTTGCCTGGCCCCCGGCCCCCGCCCCCTCATCCTTTGGCCCGGGGCAGAGAGCTGGCTGGTACTAACGCCCCTGGGACTGCCTCAGCCTGCCTGAACCTCAAGCTCCCCAATCGTAAAGTGAAGACAGTAATTGGTAACCCTCAGGGTTAAGGTGATCCTGTGGGGATTAACTGCCTCTCTCTAGGCGGGAGTTCTGGGAAGGCAGGCAGGTGTTCAGGGGCCACACCTTGGAGAGGGGAGGCCCAGACAGGTCCAGAGCTGCTGCTCTCAGGCAGCTGGGTGGCAGGTCCTCTGGGCTGTCTCGCTCCCCCCGCTGGGCTCCACCTCATGGTGCGCACGTCCCATAGCCCCGTTCAGGTCCAGGAGCCGGTGACCTCTGTGCAGGAAGCTCCTATTCCCAGCAGTGCTGGTCCAGAAAGTCAATCTCACGGAAACAGCTGCCGCTCCTCCCCGGTCCCCCACTCCAGCCCTCCTGCCTGGCCCTGCTCCACCCTGTGACCTCCCGTGCCGGTCCCCACTGAAGGTCTGGTTCTCATGGCAAGGAGGACTCTCACAGGAACCTTACCCCACCCAGCACACCCTACCAAATGCCTTGTGAACCTTCACTTCCCTTTTCCCAGAGCCAGGAGCACCAAGGCGGGTCATTCCCAGGGTCCCCCAGGGTGTGTAGCAGCCCCACAGGGGTACCCTTGGGACCTGTGCAGGACACACCCTAGATGGTCCAGGACTGCCCTGAGGTCTACTCCAGCCTCTGCCATGGCCACACTCCCTCTGCCAGGAGATGGACACTTTACCCAGCTTCTCTGTCCTCCTTGTGTTACACACACACACACACACTCACACGCACGCGCGCACACACACACACGCACATTCACATGCACACCTGGATACCAGATCTCCCATGTGTATAAACCTGTCAGGTGGCAGACCTTTGCATATGCCAACAGGCACTTTCACATACCCTACAACCTTCCTCCCCCCAAACACACAAATACACACACACACACACACACACACACACACACCTGTCCAAGGATGAACTTGTGAACAGACATTTATCCCGGAAACCTTCTCCACTATTTGATGAGATATTTGGCATACACACCCATGCCCACCTGTGCAAGAGCATGCAACACACTCATTCATGTGTGCATGTGTACGCACGTGCACACGCACACGCACACGCATACTTCACACACACACTCAGAAGTCCCAGTCCTTCTCACCGGGGACAGACCACAGTAGCAGCTTTCCAACCACAACCCCATAATCAACTAACCCTGACCTTCCTCAGAGGGGTCCCTGCCTTCCCAGGGGACAAGGAACCTGCTGAAGCCACACCGGTCACTTTGGCTGCTCTCTAGTTCAGGTCCCCTACCCGCAGGGCACGTGTGCCACTGGGCTGGGTCCGCAGGTGTGCAAACTGCAGGTGCCTGCAGACCCGATGGGAACGGTCCTTCCCCAGCATGCGTCCAACACCCCACTGGGAGAGCATGAGGGACGGAGCAGGGGGCCCACCCTCCACCCAGGGAGGCAGAACCCGGACACTCTGGGGACCGTCCCAAATCGCGGGGTATCTATGTGACAGGTTCCCCTCAGCATGGGCTGGGTCCTGGGAAGGGCAGCTCCAAGGATCCAGTGACTGCCGGGCTCCTGCCGGGGAACCCTGGAGGATGCTGGGGGTGAAGGGCACCCTCTCATCTATTCGCCCAGACACCTGGCTGGGAGGATGGAGGGCTGCGGGCGGCTCCGGGAACAGGGTGAGGCCTACCTCCAGGCTGCGAGGGGTGGATGATGGACAGCAGGAGCAGGAGGACTCCAGGCCACAGGGCTGTAGCTGTCGGACCCGCCATCTCAGGGAGAAATGCCCAGCCTGCTCTCCGCGCCTCGTTTTATCCCCAAAGCGTAATTGCTGCCTCCTCGGCTGCGAGGGAAGAAGGGAGGGAGAGAGGGCGGGCAGGAGGGCCTGAGCAGGGGGAGGCCTGGGGGAGGGGGCCGCAGGGAGGGGGGCAATTACGAAAGGCCGGCTCACAATCCTCCCAGGCTGGGTCTGAGTGGACTGGACTGTGGGCTTTTTTCCTTAAAACACATAGTCGCTCACGCGTGCGCATACACACACACACACACACACACACACACACACACACAGTTTTCCCCATCTCTCTCCCGCTTTCCCTCTGTGGCTGTTCTCTCACTGCTGGCCCCGTTCCCGCCAGAAAGTGTGAGGGGGGCCTCTGCCAGGACAGCCCTCGGGAGAGGAAGCAGGAGGGAGGGCCCTGCAGCCCGGCCAAAAATCCAGTCCTAGCCAAGTCCTGAGTGGCCAGGCCCCCGCCCCTCCGGCTGGGCCCCGGGCCCAGTGTGGGGACACAGGCCAGCTGTCCCGCGCCTCTGCCCCCACCCTGGCCCTCCAGACTTCCCCAACACCCCCAGACCTGGCCACAGACAGGCCCTGCTTAAATCTGGGGAAGTGGGGTTTTGGGCCGGTCTGGGGGCTGGGCCAGGGCCAGTGTCTACGGAGGTGGAGGTTGCTGCAGGCAGAATGGCCTGGAAGGTAAAATCATGTTGTCATTGTCCCCTGAGGCACCTGGGAGCTGGAAGGGGGACCCTGACTCACTACACAGCTCCATTCTGCAGGGGCTAAGGTCACAACCTTCTGCCTGAAGCTGGGGGGCGGTGGGGGGGAGGGGGTTGGCAGGTCTTTGATCCATGTCTGCAGAGGCCGAGGGGCTGGGCTGCACCGGGGAATGGCCTGGGAGTTAAGACCATGTTGGTGTTGTTTCTTGGGGCATCTGGGGGACATGTGGGAGACCCTGGCACACCACAGGGGTCCCATTTACATGGATCAAGGTCACAGCCCCACACGTAGGCTTGTGCAGGTCCAAGTGTCTGGCAAAGGTCAGTCTGGACCCCGACGGTGCCCCGTGGGTGCACAGGGGTTTAGGGAGCCCACCAAGACTGATAGGTGGCCCAGCCCCCCTTTATCACTCAGCCCCCACCTGTCCCAACACTAAGCACTGGAGCACCCAGACCAGACACAGGAGCTTCGGCTGCCGGTTCTCTCCCTGCCCCAGAACACCCAGGACTGACATTCCTCGGGTGGCCAGGAGGGGGCGACCCTGCGCTGAAACAGCTGGGACCAGCATTTCCAGCAGGACTGGGACTGTTCCTGCCTAACTGGGCAGGATGAGGACCCGGGGGATTGGGGGGCCGGGGTAGGGAGTGGGGGGGGGATTTGAGAGCCAGAGGGTAGGAGAGGGGCACTGGTACTTGCCCTTATCACAGCCTGGAGGGGAAAAGTCGAGGTCACAAAGTCTGAGAGCTTCTCCCCACCTGCCCTCGCCCAGGTGGAGAGTGAGGGGAGGACACACCACAGCTCCCAGGGAAGGAGGGAAACGACCCCTCCTCCAGCCAGGAGCGCCCAGAAGTCTGCAGGGCTACCAGGGGTGGCCCAGCGTGGAGATGCCAGAGGCAGGCGCTGGACTCCGGGGGGACCTAGGCCTCAAATCTGGCTCTAGCACTTCCTAGTGGGGTCACCTCTTCATAGAGCTTCAGTTTCCTCACATGTCAAATGGTTATTAATATGGCTACCTGGGTGGGTTATTGCAAAGTTAAGTAAAATGTGGTCATATCTTTCTGTCCTGTGCCGGCTAGATCCCAAATGCTCTGTACTCACCTGGTGCTAGTCCTGGTAATAATGCCAGGCTACTACCACAGGTTCTGCAAGCTCCACTCCTGTCTGTAGAGGAACTCTTGGGCTGCCTCTCTGCTGGGCCACCTCGGGACCCTGGGCCATCCCTTCCTCTTCCCGCTCTCAGGTGGTGGCGCTCCAGGAGTTTGGAAGGGGTGGGTGTGCCAGCAGAATTGTCTTGCGGCTGTGTTTGCACAGCAAATGTGCAGCTCTTACTTCCAGGGTGTGTGATTTGGGGGTGCTTTGGGGATAGCTGATGGAGATTATGAGCCCAAGCCAGTCCTTGGGGAGGTAGGGGCTGCTCAGGGTCAGGGCCTGAGGCTCGGTGCTGGGATGTGCCCGCTGGTGGGGAGACCAGAGGGTGCCTCTGCATGCCTGCCCCTTCCCAGGAGGGGGAAGGATGGGGTGCTGGTGCGGAGCGGGGCCCCACTCTTTTCAGGGCAATGACGTGGGCAGGAACCGGCTTTCAGACTTACAAACCGCAGTCTGCTCAGAGTCTTTATTAATTCCAGGACCGGGAGAGAAGCTGGAGCCAGCTGGAGAGAGCTTGCTGTGGGGGGATCCAGGAGAGGTGTGGAGGGGCGCTTGCAGGGATAGACTTGAGGCTGCTGGGCCAGGCCTCTCTCTGCGGGACCAGGGCCCTATATCCTGCCCCCCCGACCTGTGTTCCCCCTTCTTCTTAGCATCCCATGCTCACTGCAGGAGCCCCATGAACTCATATCCACCAAGGCTCTGTGCATCTCCAGAGGGGAGCCTCAGTTCAGAACCCCATCCATTAACTGGATTATCCAGTGCAGTTTAGCCCAGTGCATTCCATACATAATGTAAGGACGAGGGGTTACAGTTTTCAAACAACTTTCATCCATCCATTCACTCATACATTCAAGAAAGCCAACAGCCCTCATCTGCTCTGGCCACCTCCCTGCATAGCTATAAGGATTAAATAAGGTCATGAACTTCCCACAGAGGGCTCCCCGAATGCTGGGTAAGCCTGGCTTCACCATTATCCTTGACCAGCCACATCTGCGGGGCATCCAGGTGAGTCACTGACAGGCCGTCTCTGTCCTCAGCCCCTCCAGGTTCACCCCTTGAGGAAGAACAGGGCCGCCAGCCTCCACACAGTTCTGAGCATGCCGCTGCTTTGCTCAGAAACCCTCAGTTGCCTTCCGGATAAAGTCCAGACTTCTGAGAATCGCCTTCAAATCTTTGGCCCTACCCAGCTCAACTTCTCTGTCACTCTCCTTCCCCCTGGCCAGCCAGCCAGCCTCCCTTCTGGTTGATGCCGCTGCTCCCAGCTGCCAGGCTTGTCCTAGAGGTTGGACACGGGACCATTGTTGCCGACGTTCCCTGGTCTCAGCTTCCCTCTCTGCAGGTCTGTGGCCTCAGCATCCTTGCCCCTTGGATCTCTATGAGGGCCCAGAGGTACTCAGTATTTCATCTTATCCCCTGCTGGCCTGGCCTTCAGCGGAGCCAGCTAGGGGATGGAATCATTTCTGTCTCCCGCGTCGTCCAAGCGTGTCTGATAATAGGCAAAGATGCGCTCTTCAGAAGATGGGGACACCGCCAGAATGCTGGGGTGCAGTTTTTGTCTTTTCCCTTGTCTGCACACGGTCCTTTTATCCACTGAGTGCAGGATGCTCTATCTGCATGAAACCTTGAACCAGAGAGAGAGATCAGCGCGGGCTGCCTGGCTAGTCTGGGAAGAGCTTGGAGTCAGGCAGACCCAGGACCCTGCTGTGCTCCCTACAGGGTGAAAGTCTCTGCTATGGGTCATTTGCAGCTCTGTGTGCGGGAGGGAGGAGCGTGACTTTCTCATGTGGACCTAGGTGAGGTTTGCCACAGAAAAGAGTGTGGATTGGGTAGCATGGGTTCAACCACCTGCCCTCATCTCTGAGACCCAACTGCAGGCATTGAGAAGATGGCCAGAACCTTCTCATCCCCTGATTTAAAATTTTCTAGTAGTCATATAACATAAAAGATACGTAAAATTAATTTTAGTAATAAGTTATATTTAACCCAATACATCTGAAGTACTATCATTTGAACATGTCATTGATAGGGAAAGTATTAATGAGATGTTTTGCCTTCGTTTTGTACTCCCTTAGAACACATCTCAATTGGGACTAGCTGCGTTTCCAGTGCTCAGAAGGCACATGTAGTCGGTGGCCACCGGGGCGGACAGCACAGGTTGAGACTATGAGGGGACTCGTGAGAATGAGCCTGACTTAGGACAAGAGAGGAGGGAAAGCTAAGTGGTGACTTCTGCTGCTCACAGCTCACAGGTGAGAAGGGTGTGAGGATGAGGGAGAGAGCCCGGGCAGGAGGGGCGGCCTGGCGGGCTGGCAGGGAAAGACCTGGGCGCACCCACGACAGGCAGCCCCAGGGGAGAGGCCCTGCCCTCACGCTGGTGACCGAGCCAGAGCGGGTACCGCCTACTGAAGGGTACCAAGCAGCATCGGCCCAGAGCCAACACTTTGGCTAGAAAATGAGAAAGGCCTGCGTAGCTCTTGTCTCCCCAGCGGCAGCCGGGACCCCTCTGACAGCAAGAAGCCAGGAACAGAAGGGACCTGCAACAGGACAGGTGTCAGACTTCATTGGAGGTAAAGGGTCTGCAGCCGAAAAGGGGTGGGGCACTGCTGGGCTGAGCCACCTGAGTCTCACTTCATGCAGGCGTGGCTTGAGGGGAGAACAGGCTGTACATGGAGAGGGGTTTAGCAGCTGCGAGGGGGGCTGGGATTCCAGGACAGGCTGCTTCTGCCACCCCAGGCTAGGGTGCTGGGAGCAGAGTGGGGCAGGGGTGTGTGGCGCCAGTGGTCGGTGATGTGACCGGGATTGACACTGACTGACATAATTAGCAGGTCACCTAGTCGTTCCTGATAACGGTGGTGTAAAGAATCATTAACCCAGGGAAGCCCCCGTTTCCTCTAATGGAGACCGGGCTTTGCACACGCTTTCCAAGACTGAAGGCTCATGTCTTAAAAGCCTGGTACACAGCAAGTGCTCAAAGGTGGGATGAGGACCACGGCACCATCTCAGGCAACCGAAGCAAACCACTGAGGCTGGGGGAGGGGGGAGGCAGCCCCTCCCACAAGTACCAGCCCCCTACCACCCTGGGGTACCCTGCCCTGAGCTGCCTTTGATCCAGCGACCTCTGTGCAGTCACTGCCTCTGCTCAGGCCCTGGTGTTTGCGTGTCTGAGTCATTTGTCAGTCTGGGTCCTTGGCGGGTGCAAGCCAGGGTGGTGGTGGTGGGGGGGTGTCCTGGACCGGTCGTCCTGCCCTGTGCTGTTCCCACAT